ACTTCTCAATCAATCAAAAGACAAGGCCATTACAAAAAAAAATGTTTCTTTTTCTGGTTGTTGTCTTATCTTTTACCCTTTTGTACTCAAAGTAACCATGTTAAACGTATCTACCCTACACATATGTTTGTCTGTCGTATTGGAGTCACCTATAAGATTACTGAAGGCAACATTAGATTGGAGAATTCTTTTATGTTTCCTAATATGGATACAAAAAGTACAATGTGAAAGACGTATGCTAGTAGATAGTGCTGTTTCAAAATAAAAGGCCTAATGCTCGAAACGAAGACATAATTGACGCATGAGTTAAATCAATGTTATTCCTAGAAAATACATCCAAACATTTTCACGTATATTACACGAGAACCGTATTAATAATATTGATACATAGGATTATAGTGCTGCCGAAACGTCAAACTCTAATCTTCTACTGGTTGTGTGATGAGAACTACTATTCTATTACCTGTAACTGTCCTAAATGTTACCTGTAACTGTCCGATATGTCCCCTGTAACTGTCCTAAATGTTCCCTGCAACTGCCCTATATTTTACCTATGACTGTCCTATATGTTACCTGTAACTATACTATATGTTACCTGTAACTGTCTATTATGTTACCGGTAACTATCCTATATGTTCCCTGTAACTGTCCTCTATGTAACATGTAACTGTTCTATATGTTACCTGTAACTGTCCTATATGTTACCTGTCACTGTTCTATATGTTACCTGCAACTATCCTATATGTTACCTGTTACAGTCATATATGTTACCTAAAACTGTCCTAAATGTTACCTGTAACTGTCCGATATGTTCCCTGTAACTGTCCTAAATGTTCCCTGCAACTGCCCTATATTTTACCTACGACTGTCCTATATGTTACCTGTAACTATACTATATGTTACCTGTAACTGTCTATTATGTTACCGGAAACTATCCTATATATTACCTGTAACTGTCCTATATGTAACAAATAACTGTCCTATATGTTCCCGTAACTGTCTTATATGTTACCTGTAACTGTCATATATGTTACCTGTAACTGTCCGAAATGTAACAGGTAACTGTCCGAAATGTTACCTGTAACTGTCCGATATGTTCCATGTAACTGTCCTATATGTCACCTGTAACTATCCTATATGTTACCTGTAAGTGTCCTATATGTCACCTGTAACTGTCCTATATGTTACTCTGTTACTGTCCAATATGTCACCTGTAAATGTCCTATATGTCACCTGTAACTATTCTATATGTTACCTGTAATTGTCCTATATGTTACCTGTAAGTGTCCTATATGTCACCTGTAACTGTCCTATATGTTACTCTGTTACTGTCCAATATGTCACTTGTAAATGTCCTATATGTCACCTGTAACTATCCTATATGTTACCTATAACTGTCCTATATGTTACCTGTAACTGTCCTATATTTTACCTATGACTGTTCAATATGTTACCTGTAACTGTCCTATATGTTCCCTGTAACTGTCCTATATGTTACCTAAGACTGTCCTATATGTAACATGTAACTGTCCTATATGTTACCTGTGAGTGTCTTATATGTCACCTGTTACTATCCAAAATGTTCCCTGTAACTGTCATATATGTTACCTGTAGCTGTCCTACATGTAACATGTTACTGTTCTATATGTTACCTGTAACTATCCTATATGTTACCTGTCACAGTTATATATGTTACCTGTAACTGTTCTATATGTTACCTGTAATTGTCCTATATGGTACCTATAACTGCCCTTTATGTTACCCGTAACTGTCCTATATGTTACCTATGACTGTCCTATATGTTACCTGTGACTGTCCTATATGTTACCTGTAACTGTCATATATGTTCCCTGTAACTGTCCTATATGTTACCTATGACTGTCCTATATGTTACCTGTGACTGTCCTATATGTTACCTGTAACTGTCATATATGTTCCCTGTAACTGTCCTATATGTTACCTATGACTGTCCTATATGTAACATGTAACTGTCCTATATGTTACCTGTGAGTGTCTTAAATGTCACCTGTTACTATCCAAAATGTTTTCTGTAACTGTCCTATATGTTACCTATGACTGTCCTATATGTTACCTGTGACTGTCCTATATGTTACTTGTAACTGTCATATATGTTCCCTGTATGACTGTCCTATATGTAACATGTAACTGTCCTATATGTTACCTGTGAGTGTCTTATATGTCACCTGTTACTATCCAAAATGTTTTCTGTAACTGTCTTATATGTTACCTGTAGCTGTCCTACATGTAACATGTTACTGTTCTATATGTTATCTGTTACTGTTCTAAATGTTATCTGTAACTGTCCATTATGTTACCTCTGACTGTCCTATACCTTACCTGTAATTGTCCTATATGTTACCTCTGACTATCCCATACGTTACCTGTAACTGTCTTATACGTTTCAAATATTTTCAACGATGGAAGTGAAAAAATACATACTAAATTCACAGAAATTTGAACTATTGGAGTAGGAATCTAACATATGCATATGCCAGAAATTCACTGTGATCCTTGTATTGAAAAAGTTGTGCAAGAATGTCCTTTACCAGCTCTACTGACTCTAGCTGACTATCTTAGGCTGTGTACCCTACGACTGGTGTATTGGTCAGTTTATTTCGAGGTGGTTACACTTAAAATAAACAAGGAAAGTAACTTTTGCGAAAATTACAAATTCGTTGAAAGAGCAGTGATTAATATTTGCTTAAAACTGTCTAGCACCTAAGGATATCAATACTGATATGGTAGCAACACTAGGCAATGATGCCCCTTCATATGCTATAGTGAAAAGGTCGGTGGCGGATTTTAAGCGTGGTGGACAAAGCATTGGGGATGACGCCCCGTCTTGGAGGGGTGGTCACTTTTGCAATTCAAGAAATGGTCAATGAAGTCGTAGTTATAGTCGGAAGGCGAGATCTTGCAATGTGAAGCTGTCAGCTCATTTGGTATTAAGACATCTGACAGCACACCAGGTTGACCTTGTCGCGTGCTTATCTGAACCTTTTAGAGGCAGATCCTTTTAACCTTCTGTAGAGGTTTGTGACTATGTTTAAAACGTGGAACCGTCATTTCACCCCAGAGGCCAACCAGCAGTCTAAACAATGGAAGCACCTTGGTTCAACCCCGCCAAAGAAGGCAAAGACTGTTCCATCAGCTGGGAAAGTCATGGTCTCGGTTTTCTGGGATGCTGATGGTATTTTGATGATTATCTGCAAAAGGAACAAGCAATCAATGGCACATTTCTAATAACCATGTCGGTCAAATAATGACGTCACATGCACAGTCAAGAAAAGGACTTCTTTAAAAGCTGCACTGAAGCCCTTCAACATCGTTGGCAAGAGCTAATACATACTGAAAGGGTTGATGATAAAAAATAATGTCATATGTTTGCCAATCGATAGCGAGTGTTTCTCATTACTTTTGAATCAAAACTGATGCAAGTGAAACTAACACCATATATTTAAAAGGTTGTTCCGAGGACGTTTTACACCAACATGTGCTTTGTTTACAACCTGCAGTGAACTGCCGCTTATTGGATTATGCGAAACTGACAATTAGAAACACTTGTAGATACCATTCATTACAATAAGAACTAAGAACTACTAATAGTGCGTTTTAATTTCTGTGCGAAGGGATTTCTCGATCAAATATCAACTTCTCAATCAATCAAAAGACAAGAAGGCCATATTCAACAACTTGCATATACTATATATTTGTCTTATCTTCATCAAGTTTACGCAAGTGTAAGACAGTGTAATAACGCAATATTCATATTTACCTATGTAAAGCCTACTTAACATAACAATGCCTAATTACCTTGTCAACGTTTATGTCCTATTTTACATATATCTGCATCCACTCGCTAGCAAGCAAAATCCAATACTCTAGTTTAGTTATAAGCCCGAACGGATTGCAAATACATGTAGCGCTAATTCAATTACATAAATATACATGTTCTCTGTGCAATTACAACAATTACATTGTGATGTACTCAAAAGAATTGGAAGTCAAAGACATGACTGACTCTTTTACATCAGCCACTTTCCTCGATATTTTCCTAAAACGAAACCAACATGGACATATTTCCATCTAGCTGTATAATAAACGTGATGATTTAAATAACCCTATCGTGTTTTTTTTTCATTTCCGGATATCAATATCTCTTCAACAACATATGGTGTTTTCATATTGGAGTTGATTCGATATTTAGCATTGAACGGTATGTTCCCATTATCACGATTATCGTGCAGGAAGTCGTCATTTGATGGACAAATTGCAACACAAGGTTTCGATAGGTGCAGATTGATAGAAATGGGAATGTTTTACGGTCGCCATTGTGAAATATTCCATTCCTTGCACAATATGATAGTGGAAGTGTTTGATGTTTGTAACCTTGCCTTTTGATTCCATTGCTGTATACCTTGTTCTCATTTGAGAACGTGACATTAGTTTCTTAGATTGGCAAATGTTTACGTGACAGATTTCGTCGGTGAAGCAAAAGACGCTTACTCTTCCAGAACTCATGGTCTTATTCTCCTTGTATTTTTTTCAGGAGTCTCCGTGTAAACCTTTCTGTTGTTCATATATTGCCCAAGTTTTATTGAATATGAGTTTGTATTATGATTTTATTTACATGTTGGTTTTTTTCTTCTTGTTATCATGTTGCAATATGTGTGATAACGTTGGAATTGGAACTTGGCTTTAACCGACTTAAGTTTTCAGTTTGTTACAGGACAAAAATAATCCAAGACTTGTGCCTTGTGGCGACATCAAGGAATAGGATCTTACAATGAACACACTTTTAGCTTTACGACAAACATTAATTAATCACTATAGAAATATTCATGACAATTTTTTTTATCATTTTCAAACATTCGCAGTTATAAAACACAAGCATTTAACACATATCAGAAGTGTTCATCACAAAATTTCATCTTTCTAACCGACACAGCTGATAAGGATAACAGGTGTCGCAATATAAGATGGATAAACATGGAGCCGCCCCTATAGACAGCGGATGGGCATGGGTGGTGATGGCTGGTAAGTTGGCATATAAACAATAAAAACCTTATGTGTTTTGACAAAAGAGAAGATATATACTCGTTTTCTATTCTAAAAATGTTTCATTCGGTGTTAGCTCCGACAAAAATAAATGTTCCAATCATATTTATGTTTTGTTTTACATGAACCGAATCTCTGATGAAGTATACGTAGTACATTTTGAGGATGATAGCAACTCTACATTTGTTCGCATAAAGAACATTTCATTACGAAGTGCAATACTGCAATATCCGTATTTAAATGTAATTTCATAAATGTTTGTCCATAAGAGCTTCAGAGTAACGTCAACATATTTACTTGAACAAAAATGTGGCCTGCAAGTTGCGACAAATATCGGTGCCTAAATCAAACTTGGTATTTAACTACATTTACGAAATACTTAAAAGAATTTACGGCCAGACAATTCTGAAATTGAAAATGCTGAGTAATTGATTTCAAAGCGTTCGTTATTAGTTTTTTTCACACAAGAGCTAACCAATTCAAACCTGGAATACAGTTCAAATGTAGTATGAATATTTGATTCTATCAAAATAGATGACATTTATTTTTCCTGATTTTCAGATTTTGAAAATTAAAAACCAAAAGGCTGTAAAATTTTTCTGGCTTGCTCGCTTCAGATTTACGTTGTCGTCATTTTAAAACAAATGATGCAATAAATAAGTTTTTCTATCCCACTCTCTAAAATTTGATATTTTTGGGATAATATAATATTTGAAATATGAAAAATTTACACAATGTTTTCTTTCACTCGCGGAAATGTGATATATTTGGGATGTTGTAATATTTTGTAAGGTTTACTTCTTAAATAGCAATATTGTTTTGTTTTTTTTTTTCATTATTTCAGCGGTTATGCTGTCCACATTTTTGGATATGGGTTTATACAAATCATTTGGAATATTTTTTGTCGAATACATTGAGAAATTTGGATCCAGTGCTACTATCACGTCAGTGATATCCGGAATATATTTGGGAGGATACAGCATTGTGGGTAAGTTCAATCACTATATACAGTTTAACCATTGTCCTATATTACACTAGTAAAGGTCATGGCATTAAAATCAAAATGTAATTAAACAGATTGACTTAGAAAACTTTTCGATATTTAATTATTTTAAAAAACATCTGTTTTAACGTTTACTTTGTAAATCACATGATTATAACTATTGGTCTAATTAAAGCATTGGTGATGATGACTTACGGACTGGGCAGGATCAGTTCCCGACAATCAGTGATGTTTGGAGGCGTCTTCCTGTCCATTGGCTATCTGCTCTCTAGCTTCGCTACCACAATACAAGTCGTGTTTGTCGCACAGGGCGTGTTCGCCGGTTGGTGAATCGATCGTTTTGTGATACGTGTGTTTGATACCACAGACACCTTTTCTTGTTAACAATATATGTTATATGTCAAAAAATATGCAATTTGGTGTAACCGTATAGGAAACTGTTGCGACAAATATACGTGAAAGTGATTGTTTTCTGAAATGAACGAATAGACGTTTGTTTTTGTGGATTCAGTTCAAAACAATTTTGATTTTTTTTTCTTTTCTTTATTTATCTATATATTTCTGTTTATTTATTTTATCATTTATTTTCTCTTTTTATTGGTGGCTACATATATTTTCTTTGATCTGTGATACCAGTCATGTCAACAACTACAGTTTGTAGTTGGTTATATTTTCTTACTCTAGCGGACAGAATTAGACAACAAATAAATGTATAACGTTGGCCTATCTTTTATAGCAATTGGATCCGCCTGTACACATGGTCCCAGCATCGTGATACTTAGTAAATACTTCGACAAACGGAGAGGATTATCAAATAGTCTCGCCATTTCATGTGCTAGCTTAGGTGGGCTGGTATTGCCGATTTTGTTTCATGCACTGGTGAAATGGTACAATCTGAAGGGAGCCTTGCTGATAACATCCGGTATTATTTTGAATTGTACTGTTGCTGGTGCACTTATGCGACCTATAGATCAGTATCAACTGAACGGAAAATTGAAAAGTGACTCTTTCTCGAATGGAACTGAAAACGTCCGTGACAAAGAAAATATTTCCAAACTTTCAAACATCAATACGAATCAAACATTGCATGAATCACAACAAAATGTAGGCTGCAGTGGTCCAGAGCAAATAAAAGGAGAAAAAACAGATATGAGTGAATTTTCCGGAAGTTGTATAAGTTTAACTCATATAGCAAGTTCAACAGTAGATGTTAAGTTACGCCCCGAAGAAAGTGATAACATCAACTCAAAGTGCGTCTTCAACTTCGAAATTCTGTCTCAAATTTTTGATTGTTCGCTATTCAGAAACATGATATTCATGATACTGTTGATCGCTGGATGTCTTGGACAAATCGAATGTGCCCTTGCACTCATTTTCATCCCTCCATACGCAAAAGATCAAGGTGTTGCCGACAGTGACATCCCTTTTATAGCCGGAACTATCGGGATTGCAGAGTTTACAGGCAGGTGCTTTATTGGGATGTTTGCGGATGTTAAGTTCATAGACAGACACATGTTGATCGCTGGGTCGTTAATTATCACTGGTATTGTGACGCAATGTGTACATCTGTATGATAGTGTGTGGACTTTCGTGGTATTTGCAGCCCTATACGGTTTGTTCAGTGGTGTGCTCGTCGCCCTATATTCACCTGTATGTGTTGACCTTCTGGGACCTGACAGCATCAGAAAAACTTATGGAATATCTTGTTGTTTTAACGGAGTAGTAACCAGCTTGGCGGCTCCCTTCTTTGGTAAGTTTAATCCATTTTTAACTGATTTTTTCTAATCTTGCTATAGTACATGTATACCAACTCGGTATAGATACATACACTCCTTATACAAAATACCCATTATTCTTGTTGAAAGTGATCAATTATACAGATATTTCTCATGACAGGTTTTCTGCGAGATGTAACTGGATCTTACGAGCTACCATTCCACTTGATGGGAAGCTGTGCCATACTTGGTGGAAGTTTGCTACTGTTAGTACCCTGGGCGAAGCGATATGAGGAAAATAAATTAGCGAATTCCAAAACACCACAGCAATTGCCACTAATATGAACGATAAACATCCATATATTTAGACTGCAAACAACCAGTTGTATAAATAAACATAAATTGATTTATGGAATCCTACAATTGAAAGCTACTGTTTTCTTAATAATGTATCATCATTTCAACCATGAATTGATGATAGACCTTTAAGTTGACAATGTTCCTCAATACCACTTAGCAATGGAGACATTTAGTACGTATGTCTCATTGCCATGCTACAATTTGTATTATCTACATGTATCCCGGACTATTAAGATGTCATGTGATTTTTTCTGACGTTATATGGCATTACATTAAAATAAAATTCCAATGCCATACAGATACTTTTTAGTATCGACAAAGGTGTGTAAATCAACAGAGGGGAAGATACTAACGAAAAAATATCTACACAGATACCTTTGAAAAAGTACAAGGAGAATAAGACCAGTCTTTTTCAGAGAGTAAGTGTCTTCTGCTTCATCGCCGAAACTAGCCTTGTAAAAGTTTAGTCAATTCATTTCATGTAAGTACTGTCAGATTTTGAGGTGAAAACAAGATCAACGTCAATTACCAATGCCACCCAGCAAACATATCATTTTGCATAAGTTGGTCACTTATCTTGCAAACAAATGACCTTTACAACAATAGTACAATTTTGAGGATTTTTAACGTTTTATTACAGTGTATTGTCCTGACTACTATTAAGAATATCATTTTTTTAACTGCAATTTCTCTTTAATCGTTAAATGCTGCTGATGTTAGTAGCAAAGTGAGTGGTTTTACTCTAGGGAATATCTTATTTTAATTCCTTATAGAGCTTTTGTTTGTTTCCATCTCCGCGAATCACCTTAAACAAAATAAATATATTGTTTTTAGTGCAAACTTCGTACCAATATTATTCTATAATACAAAGGGATTATTTGAAAATACAAAAAAAATAGTTAACTTTTTTATATATTTATTTAATTGTGTCATATATTCTTTATGGAGACTGTACTCCAGTACAACAAAATTGGTTTATTTCAATATATTGAACATGCTTCCTCTTTGTCACATTTATACCAAATAAGTCTATATTACATTCACATGATAGCAAATTGACAAAGAAATGTTATTTTGTTCTACAATTGTTTTTTTCTTTTTCTTTGCTCTAGTATACAAATCCAAAGTTAACAGAGTAAATATATCCGAACCCTTTTACACGTTATGGACAACTATTTTCGGTAGTACGAGTTTATGCATCAAGTAAGCAGGTTTGGGAAATCCGATAGTCTCTAAAAAACAAAGTCATTTTAGAGTTCAAAACTGCTTCTGTTCATCTTAATTATCCATGATTAAATTTAATCCTCTTAAACACGAAATATACGAACTTTGGACGAATTGTCGATTAGTATTGATCTAGAAAAACAGTCAATGAATGGATCTTTAATACACAAGTATCGTCCCGGAACTACGTCATCACACCGGAAGTGTGGTTGGCCGACTCCACAAAGAATGGCTTCTACTTCGTCCCCCAGTTTATCCTGAAACAATACATGTTATCATTAAATACCTCCTATTTCATTCATATTGATAAGAAATATATTCAAATTTCAAGAATTAAAAAGTATCGCGAAGAAATTGATCTAACGTGTGGCAATATTTAATATAAGTTTTAAATTTTTTAGTTGTTATCAAAAATATACCCAATTTCAGCGTACGTGGTTTATTAAGTTTATGGTTTGTTACAAAAATATATCTATGAATAAGTCAATCGATTACCTGCAAGTGTATGCTCTTTGTCAAAACGTCGTACATACATATATAACCAACAAATATTAAGGATTCAACTGTCGGTCGTCTTCCGAATATCCCGCTAGGAATTTCCCAGATAAAATCTAAAACAGTACATCTTGCAAACGTCCTCTGGCTCAGACATTTTGCCTGTTGAAATTCTGCACGTCTGTTTATTCTGGAGGCGAATGCTTCCTCTCGGCGGAATCCATCTGTTGTTATGATTTCGTAATCTTCCTCTTCTGGGGTAGTGCAGTGCAATTTATGTTCATCCTGGTTCAAACGCAAACACGTTTTTGAACAGTAAGTCACTTTATTACATCGGCTGCATCGCTGAACAGAGAGGGTTGATACTCCACACGTCAGACACTTTAGATACGGCGTTTTTCCATTGACACGACTCTGTTCTTTGGAGCTGTTTGGAAAAACTGATTGGATTTTTCTTCTTTTTCCTGATCGTGGATACGCCTGATGTTCAGCCTCATAGCAGTTGGTGTTCTCTCCCTGCTTTTGATTCTGTATCTCTTTACATTGTTTTTTATGCTTGCCTTTCCAATCTCGTCTCTGACATATGACAGAGCAGTAATAAACCCGTTTACACGCCGAACAACGTAACTGATCCCTACCTTCGAGGCCACAGTATCCACAGATATAACCCATTTTAGATTTAACTTTCGAAAATAACACAACTGGACCAAATCTTTATAAATCTGAAAAAAAACCCAAAAGACTGTTTAAATATGTCCCGATACATAATTTCTGCTAATCTAAGTGACAGTATTATTTGATGCCTCTGCGACAATACATTTATATTGTCTAATAATTAATGTCACAAATTAGTGTTTCGGTTTCTAGTAATGCTGACGGACCAATACCGATAATTGTAGTCTACATCTAATTAGCAATTTACTATACCTACTTGTGTTCAAAATAACAAATACACTCGTATACTCCCTGTAAGCGAGATACACATTATGAAATAGTGGTAACAATCTAATTTGTCTTTTTCTTATATTAAATTTGCTATAAGTTAAAACCAGGCTAACCCAGTGTCACGATGTTTCTGACGTCAAACGATCAAACTTGATAAAAAAAATTATTTTAATTAGTTAACCTAAATATTTCGTTTACAGCTTATTTATTCTTATATGTGATTACAATATCGTTCCTAAAAAAAGCGAGTCGCATTCTAAAGTTCTCAGACAGCTGTTGGCCTATCTATAAGACATGTATATGATACGTTCACTGTACACTATCGCTGATAGTGACGTCAGTATGTATGTATGTGTGTACATTCATATGCACTAAACCTTGTCAGGGTTAACGAACCTAACAACATGTGGTACCGCATATTTTCTCTTTCAAACTTCTGAAATATTGGAGAGGCTGCCAAATGTATCAATTGCACTGGCTGACAATTAATTTCCTTTTAACAAGCTGTTATAATGAAAGAAGTGGTACATATGTGGTATTCAATTGTTGTGCGTTATTCGTAATCAACAATATACAGTAAAAAAATTCTATCACAGTGACATAAGAGGCTAGATATAGGTGGCATACTTCTAGATATCTCGTTTGTCTAGTTTTGGTTTCGCTTTTGGTTTTTCAGATCGTATGCATGTTTCTTACACTTGATAAAACCTGTACTTGTTTATACATTTTTTTTTGCTTTTATTGTTTATTAATATAAAATTGTGTCGTTTTCGCAATCTGTGATTTGCTTAACATTACTCTACGCAATTTTTACAACTCTCTCACTTGTGTCTTCTGCGATCTCATGTTGTATGTGTAGTGCTATGATTAGTTGGTATTAATAGTGTACTGGAATATAGAAGAGTTTATTATCATTTCTAGAAGTTCTTCGTAATATATGTTCAACATTAAGATAGAATTTCAAAATGTGAATTCTTCCTGTCTTTTATCTGTGTATTGATTCAAGGCATGTCGATATGTGTAGTATGTTCAGAAAACAAATAAGAAAATCACACCATACATTATTTGAATTTCGAGTTACGGTGATATTGGTCAGAGTATAATGTAAATGTTAGATTGTGACATAAGGATCGACACAAAGGTTTTTGAAGCAGGCCTATATATAGTGTATATGTCATGTGTATGACTTCTGAAGTATCTATCTAATAGACAAAATTACCTCACCTTATTACAAGAAACACATTTTAGAGGAGACATTATCGGTTTCATAAACAAAATACGTTCACAACCTCGTTACAGTTGACTTGATACACGTATTATCAACGTTGCCAATATTTAGAAATGTTTTGTATGAACAAATTTCACTTCTGTCAACAATATACCAAATTAAAAATGAACTTTCTAATTCATGATAGATTAAACTTACATTAAGCGACACTGTTGAACCGGGTCAAGATCAAGTTTATCCTAAAGCCATTCACGCCACGTCTAGATCCAGTGTGATACTGCACCGAAATTGCAGTTTTATGTTGACATACATCGTATATGACCATTGCACTATTTTTGGAAACAAGTTTTCAAGGATATTCCGAAATTACGTGCTTTATCTCTACTTCCCGTAAACAAACTGAGATGGCTTATCTTATCCTGAGTGACTGTGTAAAATGTATTTATAAAGATATACATATTTAATGTCCCTGATAACGAAGCGATTGTTTGATGTCATAATCAATCGGAGTTTTCAGACAGGTAAACATTTTATCTTTACATACCGAGAATTATATTTCAGAAACTCTCACACTACTTACTTTCAGTTTCGCTTTTGATTTTCACGTGTAATCTCTTCCTCAATAGATATATACAACCAATTGTTTTCATCCCAGTTATCTAACACCACATCTAAAATATACTTAAATCTTGGTTACATCTTAATATGATAATATAAACTCCGGAAATTGAATTTATAATAGGTAGAATCTGAAGAACTCCGATTAGTTTTTGACCGGCGACCGTGAACATCTGCTCCTGATGAGAACTTCTGAGACAGGCTGAAAACGGTGGTATAAAATTCGGAACATTCCCGAGCATTCCCCAGCGTATTCTATAAAGCAAAGTGAAAATATAATGAGATTGCAATCGGAAGGATGATGGAATTTCCGACAATATCACCGTTGAGTAAGGTGATAAGGCTATTGGCAGAAGCATATCAATTCCCTCTCTGGCTGACGTTACCTAGAAGATCATCAAAATCGCTAATGAACACCAATTCGTAAACCATGGCCATACACATTTAGGAATCAAAGACTCGACATGCTTATTTACTTACAAAGCACACAACTTGATCACCTTTTCCTTAACTGTTGGTGAACATGAATAGTTTGAGGTACTTTTTGTTAATTTTCCATTTCTAGATAGTAATATTCCTGTTTCCCTAACATATAGTTTACGCCCTATAGTGGATTCAATGGTCAAGGGTTTGTTCCGTATATCACGATTTTACGAAAGCTGTCGACAGCGGAAATATATGTAAAACAGAGGCAAATTAAAGGGAGGTTTAACGGTCGCCACCATGATCTCGGAGGTTTTACGGTCGCCATCATGATCTCTGGAAGGTTTGGCTGTCGCCAACATGATCTCAGGGAGGTTTTACTGTCGCCATCATGATCTATGGGAGGTTTTACTGTCGCCACCATGATCTCAGGGAGGTTTGACTGTCGCCATCATGATCTCTGGGAGGCTTTACTGTCGCCACCATGATCTCAGCGAGGTTTGACTGTCGCCATCGTGATCTCAGGGATGTTTTACGGTCGCCATCATGATCTCACAGAGGTTTTACGGTCGCCATCATGATCTCAAGGAGGTTTTACGGTCGTCGTCATAATCCCAGAGATTTTACGGTCGTCATCATGATCTCAGGGAGGTTTTACGGTCGTCTTCATTATCTCAGGGAGGTTTTACGGTCGCCATCATGATCGCGGGAGATATCAAATGTTATCGTAAGCTCATTTCAGATTGTCGAGATTTGCATAGCGAATGTTGTCTTTATAATATTTTATAGGTTCGAATATATTTTTATGCTCCTCGAAGGTAAAGCATATAGTCGCCGCTTTGTCCGTCCGTCCGTCCGTCCGTCCTTCATAATTTTGTCCGGAGCATCACACAAAAAATATAGAAGGTATCAACATGAAACTTTATGGGTAGATAAATCTCGATAACGAAAAGTGCGTGTTACAAGAACAATCACTCTCTTTTGCATAATTCAGGAGTTATTGTCCTATGGTTTTATTTTTCTAATTAAATTTTGTCAAAATTAGGCATTTTGGAATTAGCGTTCGGATTCCATATATCAATTCTATGGATTCTCTTTTTCCTTTTCTTGTTTACAATGTTTTACTGTGATAGACTTTTTTTAAATAAGTAACAGAGCACCAACTAAATACTATAAATAGGCGAATATAGAAATCGGATTGGGGATTGTTCGGAGTCTTCGAAATATTATTGGAGAAATCGATCATTACAGTATGAAGAATATATACAAAATCTATTGGATAGAAGAACGATATTAAGGTATTGATAGACAAAGGCTATTTCTCAAAACATTTCATGTTTTATTTCATGACTGCAAAATAAATCTTCTCAAACTGAGAACGCCCGAACAGTAGAAGGGTCATCCACACGAATCCCTACTGATTGGTCTAGGAACCGATGGATGTATGGATCTTGTATACAGAGAAACCGTCCTGGAGTTACGTCTTCCCATCGAAAATAGGGTCGAGGATCATCGCCCTGGAGGTAAAATCCTACATATACTTCTTCGCCGTCTTTATCCTAAAATAGAATATAATTTAGCAGTATGTAGTTATGGGATATGAAGCAAAATTCGTAATAAAAATCCACTTATATAATTTTAACCATTTCAGCGAGTGTAAGATTACATGACATTTTTGCCAGTCAAAGATATAAGAAAACTTGCATCGTTAGTATTTTTATTGATAATTATTTAATATTTTGATTTTTGACCAATCAGAACTTCACTTTCTATTCACTGTATTTTAAATTCGACGAGTATTTGTTTGGAGGTACCTGTACACCGGCCACCATCTTTAATTTCATCTTGGATGTCTATGGAACATCACATTATTCCTTCTATGCCTCCGCTAAGATTCGAACCCAGAACCCCTGGCTAACTAGTCTGACGCTCAACTGATCGAGCTAAAGAGAAGTTCCGATCGGTATATTGCGGCTAGTATTCACAACGGTTACCTACATCCCTTCCAGGAAACAACTCGTCCTCGAGTTTCCAGGGGTTACAGCGATGCTGGTGGGGCATAGCTAAGAACTTCCCAGTGTCCCTACATAGCCGCCAATGTAACAGTGGCATTTATTTATTTCAATGCCTTCGCTAGGATTCGAGCTCGGGACACCTGGTTTGCTAATCTGACGCTCAACCAATTAAACTAAAGAGAAGTTATCTCAAGCTAAGTAGTAAATTGTCTTAGGGTTATAATCTAAATCTTAGGGGTATAACCTACATCTAAAAGTTCATGGGAACTTCACATTTCAGAAGTCTCTAATATTTCATTCTGGAATGGTTCATTAAAATCCACTACGTTACAACACGTGACTTATTTAAAAACATTAATGTATGTTAAATTATATTGAGATATAAATGAAGATTCACATCAGTACTCATCATAACATAGATTTTACCATTCGTAAAAAAAACTTACCTGTAGAAATATACAGTGCCTTAATACATATTGATGATACCGTGAAATAAACCCCACGGCAACCCTATTTGTACCACGTGGTCTCATTCCGAAAAGTTCGTGTGGGATTTCTCGGACAAAGTCCAATATAGTACAGTGAGGAAAAAGTTTCCATGTCAGACTTTTGACCTTGTCGAATGCTTCTGGTGCTGCATAAGATCGCTGATTTAGGTCCGGTGATCTTGGTATCGGACGATCAAAAGTAAAAGAACCACTGCGCATGCCCGACGACCTTGACGAAGAGGACGCGTGCTCCTCTTCACGACGATAGCCGTCTGTATTTATAGTATCGTGGACTTCCTGTTTGGGGCCTTTACATTGTAGTCTGTGTAATTTCCAGTCCTGCTTCTGGCACTCTTTTGAACAATAATCTGCCATCTTGCAACGAGTACATGTTTTAACAGTAGGGCTTGCTTTGCCACATACCATACATTTTCTATAGTGTGAACTATCCAGGTTTTCATCATTAAATGAAAGGATACTGCTTGATAGAAAGTCAGAAGCAACATGGCGTCCAGGTCTTCCATCCTGTTTGGTTAATTCAATGTACTTGTCATGTGTAATCCCATGTATCGGTTCCGATGGGTACACCACATTTCCGACACCACTTTCACTTTTGGGAATAAAGGGGAAGTCTTCTGGTGTTTCGGCTGTTCCGGTTTGTTTACGATTTTGAATATCTTTACACTTGACCTTATGAGAACCTCGCCAGTCGTCCCTCTGACACACGGTCGAACAGTAGTACACTTGCTGGCATCCCGAACACCGCCGCAGGCTTAGAGGTTTCTTACCGCAAAATCCGCACTTGTTTTCCATCTTTTACAACCTGAAAAACCAAACAGCATGAATATTTTGAACTTCCTTCACTATGTTCTTAAAATGAGATGCAACAGGCAAAATCTCTTAAAAAAAAACACAAACAAAAACAAAAAACAAAAACACACACACATTTCTATTATAACCGAAGGAGAGGACATAGTCTCAATGTACTGGTTTGTGAATACAGGTACAATTAATAAATAGCAGGAGTCATGTGGCGTTGATGATAATTGACTTCAGTATTCGTATTTTCGTCTGCATTATTGTGGTTTAGTGTCCGTGCAGTTCTACTGTACAAATTGCTCTTCTGGTTCAAAATGTTTCTATAATCAAAACATTCAATTCTAAACTAACATATATTCTACAAAAATACTTAGCTGAACGAAAAATATTCTTTAATGAATAAAAATAAATATTTAGTCACTTGATCACCTTCAAGAGAAGGTTTAGCGAGACTATCTCTCCATTGTATTACTGTCTCTGATTTAAGGGCTGTTCAACGTACCATTTCCTAGTCATTGAACAACTACGTGCGGGACATGAGAGCTGCGCTCTAATCAAAATTATATATATCATATATATATATATTGGCAATTCTCAGATTATAATAAAATCCTACATATTCATGTTGATTAATGAAGACGTTATCCTATAATTTAGATCGAGTTAAAGACATATTTTCGTTTTTTCCCACAGAACAATGCAGTGACTAAAATTCTGGATTTTTAATGTTTATGCCAGGATCAGGAGAGTCGGGACGAAAACTCAACACGTTAATGTTATAGTAGAAAGACAACATGTCAGATAATTCAAATATAGTGCAAATCAAGACTAGAGGCACTGCAAAGGATAATGAACGAATGACGTACACATATAATTCTTTTACCGTAACTGTTTAGAGTGAAATAAAACTCAATAAGTACAATATAATGAATATATCGTGCAACAATCATGGGAACGAGTGAAGTTTTATATTAAGAAATCAAAATACTGACACATATGTTTTCAATTTGTGTCCAATATCTTTTTTCCAAACCAATCTTTATTTATATAATACAGTATTTTTTTACGTTTTCTATAGTATTCATCCAAGTCACAGATGGTATAAGGGAGATAACTCTTAGATACTGACCCCATAATTTATGAAGTGCCATTCCCAGATTTAAAATGTAACACTGTAATCGCTACCATCTCAGTCCGTGCCGTTACATACACAGAGGTGAACCAGTAAACGCTATCTATCAATATTTAGCATATATTCACGACAGCCTGGCGGCATCCTTTATGATCACCCCAATACATGTACATTTAAAAACGTTTAGTAAAAGAAAATGGCGACATGCACGTCAAATCGCTACCGTATTGTTTTCAATACGTCGGAAACAGTTATAAACAGAACAACAGTCTGACTTACCTTTATTAGTATGTCTCAGTCAGTACATGTCATGTTCACACACGCAGACTGACCAGAAACAGCCTTGCCTTTCGGATTCCCAGAATTCTACGTATGATGTACTTTCGCTTTCGGAATATCATAACACATCAACGTTCTGACATAATGCACGTTCTAGCTATCAGAGGCGTTGTTACCTTCGGGACTAAATGATAACACATACCATTTTTTTCCTATTTTATCTTCCGATCTCAAAACAATTTTTTTTCTAACCAAACTTTTAGTCACGTGGACCAAGGAGTCTACATTGATCGTGTATATTTATCCTATTGTTTTTTCTATTTTCTCTTCTTCATCGTCTCGCTTGGAACAATAGGCGAAAAAAAAAATACCCAAGTCATTTTCTGTCTTTTTATTTATTGAAGAACATATATATGAGTGAGTTTATGTGATTTAATCACGTGCTCAGTAATCTTTATTTTGTTCTAAATTTATACCAAATATTTATATATAAATATCTGCTCAAAGTTTATTTTAAGTAAAACGTGTAAATATGACCATTTGTCGTTGCGTCATATTTAACCACATGTAACTTAAACAAATATCCTGTATACTTCTGGAGAAGGGTGCAGATATATTCAGTTTTACACTGATCTATCTAGGCTGATATTGTATGTACCTATAAATACTTAGTGGTATATAAGTTGTGTGGATAACATATTTATTTGTATGTGGATATAAACAATGTGGACATGTATGCGTGGAAGTGTCCACATTGTCTCAACATGTCTGTGTGGTAGTGTCCACAATGTCTCAACCTGTCTGTGTGGTAGTGTCCACATTGTCTCAGGAAGTGTCCACATTGTCTCAACATGTCTGTGTGGTAATGTCCACATTGTCTCAACATGTCTGTGTGGTTATGTCCACATTGTCTCAACATGTCTTTGTGGTAGTGTCCACATTGTCTCAACATGTCTTTGTAGTAGTGTCCACAATGTCTCAACCTGTCTGTGTGGTAGTGTCCACATTGTCTCAGGAAGTGTCCACATTGTCTCAACATGTCTTTGTAGTAGTGTCCACATTGTCTCAACCTGTCTGTGTGGTAGTGTCCACATTGTCTCAGAAAGTGAACCACATTGTCTCAACATGTCTGTGTGGTAGTGTCCACATTGTCTCAACATGTCTGTGTGGTAGTGTCCACATTGTCTCAACATGTCTGTGTGGTATTGTCTACATTGTCTCAACATGTCTGTGTGGTAGTGTCCACATTGTCTCAACATGTCTGTGTGGTAGTGTCCACATTGTCTCAACATGTCTGTGTGGTAGTGTCCACATTGTCTCAACATGTCTGTGTGGTAGTGTCCACATTGTCTCAACATGTCTGTGTGGTAGTGTCCACATTGTCTCAACATGTCTGTGTGGTAGTGTCCACATTGTCTCAACATGTCTGTGTGGTAGTGTCCACATTGTCTCAACATGTCTGTGTGGTAGTGTCCACATTGTCTCAACATGTCTGTGTGGTTATGTCCACATTGTCTCAGGAAGTGTCCACATTGTCTCAACATGTCTTTGTGGTAGTGTCCACATTGTCTCAACATGTCTTTGTAGTAGTGTCCACAATGTCTCAACCTGTCTGTGTGGTAGTGTCCACATTGTCTCAACATGTCTGTGTGGTAGTGTCTCAACATGTCTGTGTGGTAGTGTCCACATTGTCTCAACATGTCTGTGTGGTAGTGTCCACATTGTCTCAACATGTCTGTGTGGTAGTGTCCACATTGTCTCAACATGTCTGTGTGGTAGTGTCCACATTGTCTCAGGAAGTGTCCACATTGTCTCAACATGTCTGTGTGGTAGTGTCCACATTGTCTCAGGACATGTCTGTGTGTGTAGTGTCCACATTGTGTCCACATTGTCTCAACCACATGTCTGTGTGTGTGGTAGTGTCCACATTGTCTCAACATGTCTGTGTGGTAGTGTCCACATTGTCTCAACATGTCTGTGTGGTTCTGTCCACATTGTCTCAACATGTCTGTGTGGTAGTGTCCACATTGTCTCAACATGTCTGTGTGGTAGTGTCCACATTGTCTCAACATGTCTGTGTGGTTATGTCCACATTGTCTCAACATGTCTGTGTGGTAGTGTCCACATTGTCTCAACATGTCTGTGTGGTAGTGTCCACATTGTCTCAACATGTCTGTGTGGTTATGTCCACATTGTCTCAGAAAGTGTCCACATTGTCTCAACATGTCTGTGTGGTAGTGTCCACATTGTCTCAACATGTCTGTGTGGAAGTGTCCACATTGTCTCAACATGTCTGTGTGGTAGTGTCCACATTGTCTCAGGAAGTGTCCACATTGTCTCAACATGTCTGTGTGGTAGTGTCCACATTGTCTCAACATGTCTGTGTGGTAGTGTCCACATTGTCTCAACACATTGTCTCAACATGTCTGTGTGGTAGTGTCCACATTGTCTCAACATGTCTGTGTGGTGTGGTAGTGTCCACATTGTCTCAACATGTCTGTGTGGTAGTGTCCACATTGTCCACATTGTCTCAACATGTCTGTGTGGTAGTGTCCACATTGTCTCAACATGTCTGTGTGGTAGTGTCCACATTGTCTCAACATGTCTGTGTGGTAATGTCCACATTGTCTCAACATGTCTGTGTGTCCACATTAGTGTCCACATTGTCTCAACATGTCTGTGTGGTAGTGTCCACATTGTCTCAACATGTCTGTGTGGTAGTGTCCACATTGTCTCAACATGTCTGTGTGTGTGGTAGTGTCCACATTGTCTCAACATGTCTGTGTGTGTAGTGTCCACATTGTCCACATTGTCTCAACATGTCTGTGTGTTCGTGTCCACATTGTCTCAACATGTCTGTGTGGTAGTGTCCACATTGTCTCAACACATGTCTGTGTGTGGTAGTGTCCACATTGTCTCAGGAAGTGTCCAAATTGTCTCATCATGTCTGTGTGGTAGTGTCCACATTGTCTCAACATGTCTGTGTGGTAGTGTCCACATTGTCTCAACATGTCTGTGTGGTAGTGTCCACATTGTCTCAACATGTCTGTGTGGTAGTGTCCACATTGTCTCAACATGTCTGTGTGGTAGTGTCCACATTGTCTGTGTGGTCCACATTGTAGTGTCCACATTGTCTCAACATGTCTGTGTGGTAGTGTCCACATTGTCTCAACATGTCTGTGTGGTTCTGTCCACATTGTCTCAACATGTCTGTGTGGTAGTGTCCACATTGTCTCAGTCTGTGTGGTAGTGTCCACATTGTCTCAACATGTCTGTGTGGTAGTCCACATTGTCCACCATTGTCTCAACATGTCTGTGTGGTAGTGTCCACATTGTCTCAACATGTCTGTGTGTGTGGTAGTGTCCACATTGTCTCAACATGTCTGTGTGGTTAGTGTCCACATTGTCCACATTGTCTCAACATGTCTGTGTGGTAGTGTCCACATTGTCTCAACATGTCTGTGTGGTAGTGTCCACATTGTCTCAACATGTCTGTGTGGTAGTGTCCACATGTGTGGTAGTGTCCACATTGTCTCAGGTGTGGTAGTGTCCACATTGTCTGTGTGGTAGTGTCCACATTGTCTCAACATGTCTGTGTGGTAGTGTGTGGTAGTCCACATTGTCTCAACATGTCTGTGTGGTAGTGTCCACATTGTCTCAACATGTCTGTGTGGTAGTGTCTGTGTGGTAGTGTCCACATTGTCTCAACATGTCTGTGTGGTAGTGTCCACATTGTCTCAACATGTCTTTGTAGTAGTGTCCACAATGTCTCAACATGTCTGTGTGGTTATGTCCACATTGTCTCAGAAAGTGTCCACATTGTCTCAACATGTCTGTGTGGTAGTGTCCACATTGTCTCAACATGTCTGTGTGGTAGTGTCTACATTTTCTCAACATGACTGTGTGGTTGTGTCCACATTGTCTCAACATGTCTGTGTGGTAGTGTCCACATTGTCTCAGGAAGTGTCCACATTGTCTCAACATGTCTGTGTGGTAGTGTCCACATTGTCTCAGGAAGTGTCCACATTGTCTCAACATGTCTGTGTGGTAGTGTCCACATTGTCTCAACATGTCTGTGTGGTAGTGTCCACATTGTCTCAACATGTCTGTGTGGTAGTGTCCACATTGTCTCAACATGTCTGTGTGGTCTCAACATGTCCACATGTGTCTCAACATGTCTGTGTAGTGTCCACATTGTCTCAGGAAGTGTGTCCACATTGTGTGGTAGTGTCAGAAAGTGTCCACATTGTCTGTCCACACATGTCTGTGTGGTGGTATGTCCACATTGTCTCAACATGTCTGTGTGGTAGTGTCCACATTGTCTCAACATGTCTGTGTGGTAGTGTCCACATTGTCTCAGTGTCCACATTGTCTCAGAAGTGTCCACATTGTGTCTGTGTGGTAGTGTCCACATTGTCTCAACATGTCTGTGTGGTAGTGTCCACATTGTCTCAACATGTCTGTGTGGTAGTGTCCACATTGTCTCAGAAAGTGTCCACATTGTCTCAACATGTCTGTGTGGTAGTGTCCACATTGTCTCAACATGTCTGTGTGGTAGTGTCCACATTGTCTCAGGAAGTGTCCACATTGTCTCAGAAAGTGTCCACATTGTCTCAACATGTCTGTGTGGTTATGTCCACATTGTCTCAACATGTCTGTGTGGTAGTGTCCACATTGTCTCAACATGTCTGTGTGGTTATGTCCACATTGTCTCAGAAAGTGAACCACATTGTCTCAACATGTCTGTGTGGTAGTGTCCACATTTTCTCAACATGTCTGTGTGGTAGTGTCCACATTGCCTCAACCTGTCTGTGTGGAAGTTTCAACATTTTCTCTCGACGTGGCTGCTATATTGAGCTGTATACACTGTCATTTTTATATATAAAATGATATTTTGATTTTTAAATCATGTGAAAAACTATCAACAGCAAAGAAAAATCTGGTCTATATAATTAATGTTTATGTGTTATATTATCAATGTTTTATGTACATACTACGTCACATACATGTAACAGTGATCTGCTGGTTATTCCTTCTCTTAATATCTAACAAAGTGAATGGTCATGTTAAAAAAT